CCTTCATGTTACACTGTAGTTCCTCTCTGGTCTACTTAGGACCCTACTGAAGTAGACCACCACATGTTCGTTTTCACCCACTTTCTGAGACAACACACCTCCAATTCCGACATTACTAGTATCGCAATCCAGTATGTATGGCAGTGAGGGATCTGGAAGCTTTAAAAGTGGAGCTGAGGCCAATTTTTCTTTCAATGTCTTGAAAGCATGCTGGCAAGAAACTGTTCATTCAAAGTTCTGGCCTTTTTTAGTCAAATCATGTAGTGGAGCAGCTATAGTTGCAAAGTCCTTCACAAACTTCCGCTAATAAGTACAGAGTTCCAAGAAACTTTTTTAACTCTCCCACATTGTCTGGTGTTGGCCAATCATGCACTGCTTTCACCTTGTCAGGATCAGTTTGCACACCATGCTCACTAACAATGTGGCCTAAGTAAAGCACCTCTTTCTGGAACAAGTGGCATTTCTGGGATGGAGTTTGAGGTTTGCTGCTTTCAAATGCTTGAATACTTCCTCTAGCCAGGATACTTCCTCATCAAATGTTGCTGCAAACACAATGACATCATCCAGGTACACCAGGGCTATCCTCCATTGTAGGCCTTCCAGTACTCTTTCCAACAGCCTCTCAAATGTTGCTGGAGTATTGCTAAGCCCGAATGGCATCACACAGTATTGCCAGAGACCTTGGTCATAACCAAATGCAGTCTTATGTTTATCTGCTTCAGCCATTTTCACTTGATGGAAACCCGACTTTAAGTCCAGAGTTGAAAACCACCTGGCTCCACTTAGGGCATCAAGAGTATCATCAATTCTTGGCAGTGGGTATGAGTCCTTTTCGGTTATACTGTTAAGAGACCTGAAGTCCACACAGCAACGTTGGGTCCCATCCTTCTTTTGGACTGACACACAACGGGAGCTGACCAGGGACTCTCTAATTTCTCGACTATCCCTCCTTTAATTAAGCCATCCATGACCTTCTCCATCTCTTGTTGCTTTGCTGGAGCTATTCTCCTCGGAGGGGTCTTTATTGGACGGTGATTGCTTGTGTTTATTTTGTGCTCCACAAGGTCTGTGCAGCCAAGGTCATGATCTCCTTTTGAAAAGACGTCTTAATAATTCGCCAAAAGTTCTCTAACCTGAAGAGCCTGTGATGATGACAAATGGGCTATGCTCTTCTTATAGAGGTCAGTTAAATGTTCTGGGAGAGGATGTCCTTTCTTTATGGTTGTACTTCTTGCCTTAACATTGACTAGTTCTACCTCCTGGCACTCACTCAACAATGCCCCTTTCTTAAGTGTCTGCTTACATTTAGAGAAATTAGCCACTGTTATGGGTACTACTTGATGACCTGCCACAAGTGACCTTCCAATCTTCACGTCTGCTGGCTTGGATGGGTCTTCCACTGCTTCCACAAGCATCGGGCTTCCGTGGGGATGTTCTTTTATTTTACCCCAAATTATCTTCCCTGACATAGGGGGTATTGTAGTTGACTTAAGTTCTGTGACA